CGCATGATTGATATCGGTAGGATCAATTTAGTCGCTCGCAACGCGAGCGATAACCATGCAAAACCCACACAAAACAGGGCAAAAGACGGGCAAAAGTCATCCTAGGCCGTCCATAAACATGATTGATATCGGTCCGATTATTATTATTATTATTCTTCTTCTGATTATTATTTGAATACATTGCGCGCACTTTTGACCCCCGCAACATTATGTGAAAACTCACCAAATTTCGCATGCGCATCACAAGTCGTGAAAATAGCGATGTGTAATTGGTACCGGAACTTTGCGTAAAAAATTGCGTAGACCACGCCCACTTCCGTTTTTAACGTTAACTCCCCCTACTTTAACTTTCACGTAAACCAACGAAACTAGCTACGCATATCTAGGGTGCGGAGACGAGCAAAAAAGCCTCTTGGAGGGGTATAAAATAACGTACAGCAAGTCGGCCATTTTGAATTTGGCGTTGGAAAAACGCGATTTATCGCGTTTTTCGTCCTCCGCACTTTAACGAACTCCTCCTAGGGAATTTATCCGTACGACTCCAAATTCGTCGGGTAGCTTCTCGACAAATGGGCGATCTAAAGTTATCACGGAACTTTTTTGGGCGATCTAAAGTTATCACGGAACTTTTTTTCTTTCGCACGGCGCAGCCGTGATTTGGCGCCAAAGTTCGCGTTCGCTCGATGCTAGGCCATCACTCGCCATGGAACACGATGATGTCATAATTCAAACTGACATGCTCAGAACGCCACCAAACTTCACATGATGATTAACACTGTGGCCCTGAACAGCTCTACGTCAAATCCGATGTTACTTAATATGGCGTTACCATGGCAACGGATCCCTCGCCATAACACACGGTGTCGCTGTAACTCCAATGGACACGGTCCCATCGTCCCCCAATCTTCACTTTTATATCACCGGTGAATGCCTCAACAGCTCTACATGAAATCTGAGATCTCATCGTATGCCGTTTCCATGGCAACGAATCCCTCGCCAAAAAACACGATGTTCTGTTAACTCAATGGAAAATCGTCCAAACGGCACCAGACTTCATATGATGGGTGATGGTCAGGCCCTAAACAGCTCTATGCCAATTATGGGATGTCATCATATGCCGTTGCCATGGCAACGCATCCCTCGCCAAAAAACACGATGTTGTGGTAATTCAATGGAAAATCGTCCAAACGGCACCAGACTTCAGATGACAGTTAATAGTCCGGCCCTGAACAGCTCTATGTCAATTAGGGGATGTCATCATATGCCGTTGCCATGGCGACAGCTCCCTCGCCATTAAACATGGTTTGTCGTAATTCAATGGAAAATCGTCCAAACGGCACCAGACTTCATATGATGGGTGATGGTCAGGCCCTAAACAGCTCTATGCCAATTATGGGATGTCATCATATGCCGTTGCCATGGCAATGCATCCCTCGCCAAAAAACACGATGTTGTGTTAACTCAATGGCAAATTGTCCAAACGGCACCACACTTCAGATGACAGTTGATGGTCCGGCCCTCAACACCTCAATATCACAATAGTGAGTTTTCCTCAAAAGCTGTTGCCATGGCAACGCATCCCTCGCCGTTAAGCACGATATTGCTAAAACTCCTGTTTAAATGTTCAAAAAGTGTTCAAATTTCACATGTGTGCTAACGGTCAACCCCTCGAGACATATATGTGTCAGTTTTGAGATTTCGTCAAATGTCGTTGCTATGGTAACTAAATGGTCGCCGTGAAACACGGTTTTCTCATAACTCCAGTTAACATGCTCCAAACGGCACAAAACTTCACAGGTTTGATAACGATGCAGCCCTCAACACATCTAGGCGTATTATGGGGTGTCATCAAATTCCGTTGCCATGGCGACAGATCACTCCCCATCAAACACAATGTTTGTGATACTGCTGTAACTCCTGTGTACGTTGTCCGATCGACCTGAAACTTCCCACGTTTGCCAACGGCCGAGTCCTCGAGACATCTGCCTGACGTCGACGTGCGGACAACAGCCTGCGGAGCGTCGAAGACCCGCTCGACAACCTAGTTAAAGGTAACTTAATCCGGTGTGGGACAAATTTACCGCTCACCTCGACAGCAGTACCGTTGCCGTATACTCCCTGTACGCAAATTTGTTGTTAACTGTCATCTCGATCACCGTCATTCATTCTGTGTCACTCGCGTACATTAGACCTTAAACCACGGCACACCTGCTAAGAGGTACACTTGAATCCTGTTGTGGCACAAATAACCCGCTCCCTGCGCAACGGGTACCGATTGCCGTATACTACCTGTACGGGGAGTCTAGCCCCCTGTTTTCACCGCGGCTCCTACTGTCCGTTGCTCTCTTGGTCCTTCTTCTTACCTTAATTTTTTTATTATATTATTAATTTCGACGNGCTCGCAAGTCATTTAGTCATCCGAGGCCGTCCATAAACATGATTGATATGTATTCAAATAATAATCAGAAGAAGAATAATAATAATAATAATCGGACCGATATCAATCATGTTTATGGACGGCCTCGGATGACTAAATGACTTGCGAGCGACTAAATTGATCCTACCGATATCAATCATGCGAGTTGCAGTCACGTGGGCTTTGCGTGACTGGGCTCACGCGGCCTGTCACCCGTCATGATTTCCGAACCTTTTCTGTGCTTTTGCCGGTCGTTTTCCCTGTTTTGTGTGTGTTTCGCAGGTTTATCGGTCGCTGCGCGACCGATTTCAATGGGGTCTTCGCCGACCTAGGTCTCAGACCCTAATAATACATTTTATCTGGAGGCTTAACCTTCACCTTACAATCAATAAAATAACCTAAAAAAGGGTAAAAACAGTAGAACCAGACAAAAACACAAAGAGGTTAAACATAAAAGAGGCAAGCAATGAAGCATTAAGAATGATAAAGTATGTCATGAAGAATATGAAACTCAAGAAGAACTACTTTTCTACGTGAAATGTATTTTGTATGAAGTAATTGACAATCTTTATTTAGACTGAACTTCAGCGATGGGAAATCCTTTCATACTCTTTCCTTTTTTAACAGTTCCAAATCCTGGCTTTGAGAGGGAGATGACGTGTCGGACGTGGGGTCAGTACAACTTCGAGACCTTTGACGGCCTCTACTACTACTTTCCCGGTCGCTGCACGTACACCCTGCTGAAGGACTGTGAGGAAACCACTCAGGCCAGCATCGTCGTCCAGGTCAGTTCAAACACAAATAAATCCTCAGAATAGAAGCTGACCGGACTGCTTTGGTTTGACGCTTTCTTCCAGTCGAGGAAAGTTTGTGCTCGAGGCATATGGCTCTAAAACACTCTCCTCTCTGACTTCTGCAGGTTTCATTCTCAGCCTGAGGGAAAGATTTGCTCTGAAGATTTGCGAAAGCTATCTGGTTATTAGATTCAATTACCATTAAATACTGCAATTACCCACCATGCCTTGAAAGTATCTGCAACAGACCGGGACTTTGTTCCCCTGAAAAGGCTGCAGATACTGTATCTGTGTATTGGAAACCAACCCAAACAGGGAACATGAAAATATATGCATTATGAATATTGATTGTCCATTAATTCTGGTATTAATGATAAGGAGCACCTCATAAACAAAAGAAAGTAAAAAGTTGCGACTCTCCAAATCTGCCAGACAGACAGTGTTAAAAGGAGTTGAGATGACATTTTCCTTTGTAGTAGCCAGAGCCACACTTTGCTGGGGAATGTGTGCTACTTAAGTTCAAGTTTCAGCGTTTAGACCGGTCATTCAGGGAGAGCTGGGCATGATCAAAATAACAACTCTCACTGTCACTTTATCTGTCAAAAAAGAAAAAATATTTTTTAATCACAGAAGTAGAGAAAAAGCAGGCTAAGTAGAGACTTTTAAAGTAAACGTTTGCTGTCAACAAAAATATCTCATAATGATCAAAACCAACAGTGTGTAATTATGTCCCTTAATAATTTGGCTCTCACCCCCCTTGGTTCCTACTGAAGAAAACCGTCATAATTAATCACAAATACAGTTTATTTTTTACTAAAACAGCTGCTCACTCTATTGTTTAGCAAGCATTACTAAAACAGGATGACATTTTTTGAGGACTATTTTCAGCAGCGGACTAATCCAGAACACGAAAGAACAGGGACTGCTTTACATCCTTGTGATAACTTGTTTATATCAGTACTATAATGGATGTTACGCTCTCTTTACCAAAAATGAAGCCTTTGCTATTTCATTTTCCTGTTGTACTTTTAGGAAACCAATAAAAAAAATGACTGCTGTTAAATCAGAATTTGGAAATGAATGGAGGGAAAACCTCCATATTATCTCTTAAAAGGAGATCAATATTATTGTCATATAATTTCCATGTTGCATCTTGCTGTTCACAGGTCCACAATGACCCGGGCTGCAGTTCTGCCCCCTACACCTGCCAACGCTCTGTCAGCCTCTTCCTCCCGTGGGAGGGTGAGGTTCGGCTGCACGCCACCAACGTGACCTACAAGGGGCAAAGGTCAGCAGTGTAGCACAAGACACAACTTAACACCTTGATATCCAAAATATATTTATTATTTCCTTTATTATATAACATTTTTATTTTGTATAAGGCTATCCCTCTCTCACACAAATGGAATATGATTTAAAAGTGTATTTCTATATTTCGTTCAAGATCAATGCAGTATATCAGTCAGTGTTAGCTGCCTATAGAAGTGAAGGTTGTACCAGGATGTATTTACGCTCTCTGTATTCAGTTTGCAGCTGCCTCACCACATCCACGACCTGCAGCTGGAGCGGATCTCGCAGTACGTTCTGGTGACGCAGCAGCACGGCTTCACGCTGGCCTGGGAGGGTCGCAGCGGCTCCGTCTACATCAAACTCAGCCCGGAGTTTGTGGGCCGAACCTGCGGCATGTGTGGGAACTTCAACGCAGACGTCCAGGACGACCTGAAGACGAGTTATGGTATGATCATTTTCAGTCTAGATATGAAACAGTACGTGTAAATGCTAAAATATTTCTTTTGCAAGATATAGTGACAGTAAAAGTAAAGAAAACTAAAATGTGTACAGTTCTACTACTCTCAATGGGTATTAATTAAACGTATAGTTAGAACCAAATTTACATTGATATCTAATCATTCAAATGCAGCAAGAGTCATTGGTAGTAAAATCTGACCATGAAGCGTGAGAGCACCACTGCTTGTTTTAAGTTCTCCTGTCACCTGCATCTACCTACATTTGGGTGGATCAGATTATTACCAGTAAGCACTTAACCACATGTATCCTGGAGTACACACATCTAGACTGATTGCAATCTGATCAATCCAACCATCTGAAGATGTGTTCAGGGACCCAGTGAATGCAACACATACAGTCCCAGTGACAGAAATTAACATCAGGAAATCAAACTTAAAACATGAATCATGCTTTGAAACAAGTTTTTAAATGTATTTCTGTCATTCCCAGGCGTGCTGACTCATGAAATTGAACTGTTTGGAAACAGCTGGGTGGAGACGGAGCCCCACGAGGCTCAATGTCCCATGGTGCCCTCTGGCTTCTCTTCACCCTGTGATTCAGTGGAAGCTCATGTCCTGCTGGTATGATGCTTCCATGCTACAATGACACGTTTATGCATATATTTTTAGAGTGAAAAACTGATTGTGTTTTGTGCCTGCAGAAAGTGGAAGAGGTGTGTGCAATGCTGCTGGATCCTCCATTTCAGAGCTGCCACGACTTTGTCAGCCCTCTGTCCTACATGGCCAGCTGCTCCAACGACCTCTGCATGTGAGAACACCAGATTCCTGTTGAGATACCATTTCATTTGTCCTATGGTGGCCTAATGATCAAATGTCAGGATAGCACCGAAATCAAAGGCTTTATTGTCATATGTAGATACAGTGTGAAATGGCAATGAAAATCTTATAGTCTAGCAGGAAGGGCCCTCAGATTTTGAGATACCCCTGCCCGAGGTAGAACAAATGACAACAATTATTTTGCTTATCTTTAGGGTCTCCCATTAATGAAATTGATTGTTGTCAAATTTTATTTTGGGGGGAAAAAAGGTTCTTTGGGTTTTTCTTTAGAACTACCCCAATCCCTGAAAAAGAGCCAAATTAGACCAGGCCGAATATGGGAAAGGTGACAAGAAAGCCCATAACTTGAGAATGATAACTATTTTCCTCTTCAGATTTGCTGAGGTATGAACCAGGTGGCTGTCCTACATCACCAAATAGTCAGACAATTATTTAACTAAAAAAATACTGAATTATAGTCCTGTAAACTTAGCTTTAGTTTAGACGGAAATTGTACTTTTTGGTGATAGGAACATAGGACTCAATCACTTCTCTCATTTATCAGAAAAACAGAAATCCCTAAAAAATATACCATTACTGAATTGTCTAGGGTGCTGTTGAACACTAACCAGTAGTTGTATGGAAATATCTGGTACAGTTCTATTTCAAATGAGATTTCTTTAGACATAGGCCTAGCTCTTCTCTGATAAAGTCAAATTCCGAATGGGGGATAAGTGGCACAATAGCCTATAAGTTAAGAATGCTCACTCTGATGGTCATTATATTTGGAGAGGGAAATACCAGGTGGCTGAACTACATCACCAAATAGTCAGAATAAGAGTAACCCAATACAATAAAGTGTATTAGTTCTAAATTGCAAGCCTCTAAAACATAGGTGTAAATAGTACAGGTTTTATTGAAACTGGAACCTTAATTCAAAGTACAGTATACAATTCATCAAATAATTCTGTGAGAGGTCAAGTATATAGATACTAGAATATAATGCTAAATGTCAGGTTCCTCAGAAACGTTAGGGGAAACATTTCGACATTCTGTCAATGTGTCCCCTGGTTGAATGGCCCCATCTCCGACAATCCACCCCTTGCCAACAGGACTCCATAACAAGGGTTTGGGTTCGGGCTGTGACACCATCGCTGTCTGAAACATTGCTATTTGTA